TACCACCATCTCTTCTTAGGCTATTAAAAATTTTACGCTCCCTCGTAATAAAGTGCATCAAAAACGCAAAAAAATACCCCGCAGCCTTGATGTGAACTTAGATACTAAGCCGTTTTCTTGTTTTGTCTCATTTTGAAAACCANATAAAGTGCATCAAAAACGCAAAAAAATACCCCGCAGCCTTGATGTGAACTTAGATACTAAGCCGTTTTCTTGTTTTGTCTCATTTTGAAAACCAGTCTCTAGTAGATGTCTGAGTTCTCCCCCCCCCCCCCCCCCCCCCCCCCCCCCCACGTCAACGAGGGCCGTTTTGGTGTCAGAAGTGGGACAATTCTTATTCTCTTTCTCTTTTAGGTATTTTAACACAAGAATCTACTGGAAATATTACAGAGTTTGGCAGTGGGCAGTACTTATTGACTTCCTATGTTAAGATGATCGAGGCTGCTGGTGGACGCGTGGTACCCTTTCTGTATCCTTGACATATGCCTACTAGCATGTGGACTCGCCTCGAAGCACGCAAAGGATTGYTTGCCAAAGCGAATAGTTCCTAATACCCAGTCTCCTATTTCATAATATATCTCACGGTAATCAAAATGGCCGCTGGTGACCAATTGAGACRACGTCGCTTTTGTTTACTTTTATTGCATTTGTGCTTTATTTTTATTCATTTTTATTGCTGATAGGGCAAGAGGGAGCTTTTGTGGTACATGTGACATATAATTTTTCAAAGCAGAGTTATATTTCAGGACGGTATTTTGAAAAGATTAACTCGAAATATGACTCCATTTTGAAATTCATCATAGAACTTTTGGCGGTGCAACAAAAATGCTTCTGATTGGTTAATAGTAACCGGAATAATAATAATYACCTGGTACATTTTAGCGCGCTTTTAATTGAATTGGGCCTGTGAGGTGGGATCCCTGTGGACAAAGGAATCCCATTTTCCTTAATCTTTATCCTGATGATATTAGCCCTAATTCCAAGGTTAAAGAAAAGTGCTGTGGATTGAGTTGTCATTGCAGTGCATTGTGGGACTGTTTAGGGGACTATATATACACTATCTGGCAATATGTCTCTGAGACAGCCCCACAATGCACTACAATACCAACACGACCCACTTTTAGCTTCAACCTCAGAATTGTTAATGACTTTTATTACTGTTATTGTCATTGATTTTTAACTTTCCAGTATCAATCAAACACCTCAACAGGTTGAGAAAATGTTTAACTCCGTTAACGGGTAAATAAACTCTTATGATGATGATGATGATATAAATGATGATATTAATGAGGACGATGATGATGGCAATGATGGTGATGATGGTGATAATGATGATGATAATAATGGGGACGATGATGATGGTAATGTTAGAGGCTGTCGACACGAAAGTTTTAACTACTTCGAGACGGCCACACACTTTAAACGATTAAATTATTTTGAACATATCCTAGTTATGACATTTATTTAAACTTTATTTCAATTTGCTGTATTATTTTTTGAAAGTAAATTTATATGTGTGAATAATAAAAAAAAGTCTATCAAAAAATAATGATAGTTATAGATATATTATGATATTTAATATATCTATTCCTGCGCTCTTGTTTTTACAGTATAGTCTATCCGGGGGGACACGTCAAGCTTCAGCATTCCAAATATGGCACCGTAGGAAAGCAGATATTTGAATTAGCTAAAAAGGTATGAATAACTTTCTAAACCATGGAATGTTCAGCCCCTAACATTGGTCATGTGTACTCTCACTCCGAATCCACTTCCTCCCTCCATCCCGATCCACTAGTCTATCAGTGCTCAGTTTATCTGATTTATTTATAGACCCCTTGCACTGAGTCCCTCGAGGAATTATTCTGGGGGACAAAACAATGGATGTTTTTTGCATAAAGAAAATGCGGCCTATTGTTCTGTCCCCTGGAACAATTCCTCTAGGAAATCTATGCTTGTCTATACTTTTTGCTTGTATCTTAATTGGGTTTCCTGTGGTTACACCTTCTTGAAGGCAAACGACCAAGGCAGTGTATTTCCCATCTGGGCCGAATGCCTGGGTTTAGAGTTACTAGCATTACTGGCATCAGGAAGAGGTCTTGCTAAAGGACAGTATGACACAGCGCTCTTCAACTACACGTTTTCTAAAAAATTTACTGCTCCGCTGACATTTTCGAACGGTAAGTGAATAGAATATGCTATACCTACAACTACATACTTATATCTCTTTCATTAGAGCGTTTTTCGTATCAGGGGGGAACGATACGGTAAACTCGTAGTAGCTTTACCTTTAGCCGTGTTGTATTGTACCTTACCCGTAACTACGCATTGTGGTTGGATGAATTACTGGAAGACAATCCATTTATCCATCCATCCATCCATCCATCC